TCAAATTGTTAAGTTGAATGACATGTGGTAGTTGACGAGTACACTAGTTTGAGGTTTTACCCCTCCGTTTGTCACAGGTTTATCAATTTGTGATTTTTCATGATAACAATCCAATTTAACAAAAGGTAAATTTGTCACAAGTGTACTAGTTTTGGATTTTTTATGGTAAAAATATTAGTTCATGGTAAATTTATCACAGGTATACCAATCTGGGGTTTTTTGTGATAAAAAATTTCGTTCGAAATAAATTTATCACAGATATACCAATTTGGAATTTTCGTGGTATTAACCCAAAAAAATAAGTGTGGATTAGAAACTATCTCCCCCGCATCATCAAAGAAATCCTCCCCTTTGATCAATTTTTAGGGATTGGAGGAATATACGCCCGAGTCGGATTGGGCTTGGCTCGCTGCTCCGGCCCCAAACTCCGACTGCTTACTGGGCTCCACACCGGGCCCATGCAGCAGGTCATGGGCTTTGTTGGTGGGACCCGTTGGTTTTGCTCACTTATCCGAAGCCCTTCGGCATATCTTTTTCCTCTATCCGGACACGACACTTGAACCGAGCATTTCCTTTTAACGTTGGAGTTCCGAACGAGCGCCTTTACATAGGTACTTAATTAAGCAATTCTTTGAATTGAGTATTGAATGAATGAGATTGGCCTAGTTCTAAAGTACCAATCATCACGGTCCGCTCTAGGAGAAATCAGGGAAAACTGTCCAAAAAGTCACAAATATATTACACTTTTGCCGATTCAGTCTCAAACATTTCAATCTTGCCAATTAAGTTCTAAACCTTTTCACTTTTGCCAGTTGAGTCCATTCGGCCAATTTTAGCTGGAAATCACTGACATGGATATCAACTGTCCTATGTGACACAAGACGGGCAGCGCTAACGTTGACAATTCTTAATAATATTTTAATATTTTTTTAATTTCTTTCTTTCTTTCTTTCTTTCTTTCTTCCAAGTTTGGGGAGGGTCGCAGGCCGACCCTCGCCAGTCAAAAGCGAGGGCCGGCCGACCCTCGCCGGCCACTGAGCGAGGATTGCCAATCGCATCCACGTCGGCGATTTCAGTAAAATTGATCAGATGAACTCAATCGACAAAATATTAAAAGATTTAGAACTTAATTGGCAAAATTGAAATGTTTGGGATTGAATTGGCAAAAGTGTAATAGGCTTAGGACTTTTTGGACAATTTTCCTGGAGAAACTAACGGAATTTGATAAAAGTGCACGTGCTTACATCATTGATTATGCAATGTTAATTAATCTAATCCGTTAGTACTTTGTTGACGTCAATCGAAGTTTTAAGTCTCCATGACATCCCTCATGAAATTTCTAACAAAACATCAAACGACATGTCGTCGATGCATGGTTAGTATATGTCCCGGTGTTAGCTGGGTTCCTAAAAGCCCTAGGGGAAGGTTCATGGAATCTACCAATTTGACTCAAACCATCGAAGCCGAAGACTTATTAAATGCCATTTGTCCGCCATCGCCGCATGCGGTCGAAAAAAATTGGAATCGTGTATCTTGAATGGAATGGAGCGCGACTGTTCTAAACGAGTTTTGCATGCGCACATGCAGGTCCAAAGATCGAACGAGGGCCTTTGAAACTCGTCCTTACACACTGTTCATGAAGTCTAAAGTCTTCGAGCAGCCATCACAGGGGCCAAACAAAGGTCAAAAACCAGCACGAGAGCAAGCAGGTTTTGAACTCTGGACTTGATTCGGCTTCCTTTTAGCCTTTCGCAACCTCACAAAACAGCTGTATCTCTGACCTACCTTTTGAACTCTTGAAAGAAAACCTTTATGGACTTGAGCATATCCTTAAAAAGCTTCTTCTCTTAAGGTCTCTCCCTTAGGCTTGAGAAATGTAAAACAATTATAGGGATATTCCCTCCCTCCTGGTGAAGATAAAGTTACAAGGAGGAATAGGGGGGCTTTGGGGTTGTCCGTCCGCCGAGACTTAAAACAAAGTGCGTATGTTGCCAGTCAGCCTTAATAGTATTAGTGGGTAGCACCCCCAAGGTAGCAATGATCCCTATGGCTTAAGGTAACCAAGCAGCCTTAGGAGGAGCGTCCCCGGTTACCTTCGTTTTGAACTATTGAAAGAAAACTCTTAACTGCAAGGATATATTTTAGTAGCTTACGGGTTCATCAGGTCCTATATCTCCTCAATGCTCGAAATCGCCATGCGATCAAAGCGCGGTCGCGACCCACGACAACCGACGCACCTGATCATCATCGATCACGTAATCGATATTGATATGCTTATCGCCAAGGAGGTCAATATTGGCACCTTTTTATTCTTTAAAAGGGGAGAAGTTGAGAGATCAGACTTTGAACTCTAGGATAGGATGGCGAAAGATACTGTATTTAAAAAAAAAAAAAAACACAGCAGATCAACTGCTGTCTTAGTAAAACTTACCATTCTCATCTACCATTTGTCACTGAAAATCAATAAAATAATAGCTCTTCAGTATGGTTTCCCACCATTTCAAACAAGAGGCACATACAATTCCAAACACTGTGATTTTACTGTGGCTGGGTCACCCGGTCAATCATGAAACCTTTCTTTTTCCTTAAAAGAGAAGCCGTCACCAAAAGTCGCCATTGTTTATCTTAAACAAAGATTTTCGGGGGGGTCGAAGCTGCTGGAAAACGAGGGCGAAGGGAAGCGCCAGCGCAATCCAATCTTCTTGGCACGCCAGAAAGAATTTTTCAAAGATCTGCACCAATCACCTCCTGACATCTCCCGAACATCCGATCTTGCACGTGGCGTAAACAAGTCCTGAACTTTATCGCGAAACTCGACCCGCAATTTGCTTGCGGCAATCCTTTTCCTCCCCCTTTTTCTTGATCCGGGCGGATGACCGATGACTTGTCGAATTCGCCCTAATATTTCGAAAGTCTTTCTAGCCCCAGTAGCAGCAGCTGAATTGTCAACTTCAAAAACAAGAACCCTCCTCCCCCCTCAGCCTCAAAAAAAGATGGACATTTTCTCCACATGTCGACCGCCCAAGCCCACCGAACGATTTTCTACGTGTCGGTTTGACCCGCCAGACGATCCGCCAAGGGCATTATCCCCCGTGAAATTCCAGGAGGGCTCCACGTTCGCAAGATTGCCAAAAAAGAGAACAGAACAGAACAGTCTAGTCCTGGAAAGACCGTTCTTTCGCCTTGACCCACCACTTCTGTCATCATCGCCGATGCTTGCAAGACATCACTAAAACAGGAGCCTAAACACACACCAAAAGAACCATTAAAACCATATCTTCGAAAAGCAACGAAGCGACAAGCTAGGGTGCCAGAAGTTTGATGAGTGGAAGAAACCCTAAAACGCATCGCACGCACTCACGCACGAAAATAATCATAATAATAATAATATAAAGGAACGAACTTGTATGAAGACGAAACGACATGTGGGTCTCGGAGCTCGGTTTTAGTCCGTAACGTGGCGGGTGGATACGACGCCGTTGCACCGCCCCCTCGCCCCCGCTTGTCCCGTTTGCCTTCTTCTTCCCCTGTCGCTCTCCCTCCTTCCTGCTTTCGGAACGAAACTCCGGCCTAACTCTCCGCTAACCCCACACCACCACGTGTGGGCACGTGTCCTCGGAGCATATGCCGACGTGGCTTTTTAGCTCGCCGCGTGAAAAGCGCCCTCCACATGCGGGAAGGACCATCATGCCCTCTTGATTACGAGGGGACTTACTCGTTCGAAACCTAATTAATCACGAGGCGTTAAGACAGAAGTAGAAGCCTTACGTGGCTGTACTAGCGGAGCAATGAGAGACGCCTAGCTAGACCATATATACTTAGATAGCCGAACGTTTGTTGTTCGCATGGTGGAAAAATTTAGGACTACGTTCATATAAGTGCAATAAGTTAAGAACTAAACTGGCCAAATTGAAGGTTTTTGGACTGAATTTATGCGGTTAGTGCCTCTCAACATGCTCACAAAGATGCTTAACCCACATACTCACCGAACAAGCCTCTAAAAAATGGTCCCTTCTTTAGGGCCTTTTCTAACCTTTTTCAAAAAGTTGGAAGCCAGGAGCATTAAGGGCCTGCCTTGGGTCATTGGTTGTGGTTACTAGGAGCACCTCGCCAAGATAGAGGTTATTTCCAACCAACAAGGGCCGTCTGCACATGTCTGCTATCAGACCGCGTTCCTCATTTTTACATATCGGTACTCGCACGTCCTGTCCCCCTTTCCAATTCCCTTTTATTTTTATCTCCTCAAAAGAGAGGGAATACCTTCTTGTTATTTTACATCAAAAGGATGCCGCGGTCCGCATAAAGTCTCAGACGAAACAGTTTTACCTCTCGCTCGGGAGGATGCCCCATGCTTTCCAGAAATTTAGATTGGGGCGGGACTCACTCCTGTTGGTTTATTTTCTTACGATTCATGCACCGGGAGGGGTTGATACCGGCCCAGATAATTGAAAGATTAACAATTAAATTAATAAAAATATAATAAATTTAGTGTTAAATTGATCAAATTAAAAAGTTTAGATAGCCTCCGAAGACAGCTAATAACAAATCCACGTATTCACCAAACGGCCCTCCCGCAAATTGTCCCTTCCTTTACGGCTTTTTCCCCCAACCCCTTTTTTAAGACGTTGGGGGAGCTTCACGCTTTCTAGAAAATTTTTAGACTGGCGCCGGGACACGTGTCCCCACTGACTCACTCCTTGTTTTGTCTGTTTCCCGACGGTTCATGCACCGGAGCGAAAGGGTGCGCGGGTGGTGGGGATGGCGGGTTGCTGATACCGGCCCGGATAAGGTCGGCCCAACTCAATCCCGCCCTCCATTTTTGTTCCGGGGAGGGTTACGTGGCAGGCTTCAGACAAAAGTGGGCCCACTTGGCCGACACCCCCCCCAGAAAGTGACGACCGTACTTATCGCTCTCTCATTTGCCATCTCGGGCCTTCTATATAAACTCCCCCAGACTCGCATTTACGAAAAAAAAAAAGAGAGAATAGAATTTGGGTTCCAAATTTGTTTTTAGAAAAATTTGGCAGACTCTCTCTCTCTCTCTCTCTCTCTCTCTCCAGAGAAATCTCCCTCCTCCTTCTATCTCCAGAATTCGCGAGAGCTGAAATGGGTGTTCTGGCGACCGACCCGCTATCCCAGCTGAGCCTGCCGCCGGGTTTCCGGTTCTACCCGACCGACGAGGAGCTCCTCGTCCAGTACCTCTGCCGCAAGGTGGCTGGCCACCACTTCGACCTGGAGATCATCGGGGAGATCGATCTGTACAAGTTCGACCCTTGGGTCTTGCCAAGTACGTGTCCGTCCTTGCCTGGGGGGAGCCTGTCCTGTTTCTACGCGCGTCCCCCCTTTTTGCGGCTTCGTTTGATTTGTTTGTGCTGCGGTGATCTTACGAGGATTCGTGTGGTTGTTGTTTCAGGCAAGGCGATATTTGGTGAGAAGGAGTGGTACTTCTTCAGTCCTCGAGACAGGAAGTACCCGAACGGGTCCCGGCCCAACCGGGTCGCCGGGACCGGGTACTGGAAGGCCACCGGCACCGACAAGGTCATCACCACCGAAGGCCGCAAGGTCGGCATCAAGAAGGCCCTCGTCTTCTACGTCGGAAAGGCACCCAAGGGCACCAAGACCAACTGGATCATGCACGAGTACCGCCTCCTGGAGACTTCCCGCAAGAGCGGAAGCTCGAAGGTATTATCCGTCGGCCTTTTCGCTTTACGAATCCACATCGCACATCGTTTGAATCTTAAGATCTCCTTTTTGAGCGGTATTCGTCTAGCCCTTTCGACTGATGATGTTCCTGATGTGTGCGCAGTTGGACGAGTGGGTCCTGTGCCGAATCTACAAGAAGAGCTCGGGCTTGCAGAAGCCGACCATGTCGACTTCTTCGAGCAAAGAACACAGCCACGGCTCGCATTCGTCTGCCTCTTCGCTGGACGACATGTTGGAGACTCTGCCCGAGATCAACGACCGGTTCTTCGCGTTGCCGCGCACGAACTCGCTCAGGATCACGCAACAACACCAGCAGCAGCAGCAGCAGCAGCAGCAGGACCAGAAGCCCAACCTACAGACTCTGATGGGCTCGGGCAGTTTCGACTGGGCCACGCTCGGGGGTCTCAACCCGGAGCCCCAGCAACAACTCGTCCCGGTCAACCAAGCTCATCAGGCTCAGGGGCTCGTGAACTACGAAGGCAATGACGTGTTTGTCCCTCACATGAGCCGCCCCGGTGGCTCGGCAGCGGACGAGGAGGTACAGAGCGGGGTCAGGGCTCAGCCGGCGGGGGCGTATCCGCCGAGCTCGGGCGGGTTCGCTCAGAGCCTGGCAAACTTGCTCGACCCGTACGGGTTCCGGTACTCGGCACACCCCGCCGCCGGGGGGCTCGGCTTCCGGCAATGAGGAAGCAAAATAGACGTGTACGTGGGAATTCAATCGGACGGGTCAGGTGGACGCGAGGTGCAAAGCAGGGGGGGCGGCTCTGTAAATAATTGGAATTCCGTGGTGGCTAACATGCATGGCTTTTAGATTCCAACAAATGGAGGGCGTGGATTTATTTTTTTTAGGGGGGCTCGGTGGAGGAAAAAAGGGCAAAAAGGGAAAAAAAAAAGTTGGGGGTGGGGTGGGGGGTGGTGGGATATATGCTAACTTTAATTTTTGGAGGACGGATTCAATGCGCGCGCGCGCACACACAGATGAATACAGACAAAGTCAGTTCAAAGGGTGCTGTTTGTAAATATAGGAAAGCTGAGGGGCAAAACTGCAACGGCGTGATCAAGGGCTTTGCTATAGTGTGATAGTGACCAGGGTCTAGGGATTGGTGACGTGGTAGGGCCATCGGGGTCGGATGTGGCTGCAACATTAGGTGGGTGGGGGGTTGATGCCTACAGTGTGATTTAATATTTTGTGGGTTACATTGCCATATGAAATGTATGTAAGCTTTGATTTTTAGCATGACATTGGTCGAATGTGGTTCATGTTATGAGAACAGCTGGTTCTCTATTCTATTGCAATTTTTGCTGTCCATTGCGAGGTGGGCTAATTTAATTTCACGTTCGCCGAATAATTTGTTGGATTTTTGTTGGGTGTCAATTCATACGACGGCATTTACACAGATAGAATTTTGGTACATATTGGGAGCTATTAGAGTAATTAGGGATAAAGGGTGTGACTAAAAGATGAAAAGGGGTCCAAATAATTAATTGGTGCAGATCGGTTTTGTTTATTTCTTCTCTTTTTGTAATAACCTTTCGGCTCGAGCAATCTTTATGGATACACGCAAATCTTTTCATTCACATGTTTCGGATAATTGGATGTGCGAAGAGATATATGCGTTGATGATCTGTACTGATAAGAATTGGAGTATTTTTGTCAAAGCGAAATATCGATAGCTATTAAAGTAACCGGGTACAAAAGGGATTGATAACCGGGGGTAAAGGGATTGATTTGCATATGTGAACGACAAACCCATTTGACTCACTATCATAAACAGACATTTGACAAGATGGGTCAAATCTATCACTCTATAATCAAAAGTTACCGGTCAATTTCTTTTCTATAACACGAAAATCGTAACTTTCCAAATATTCTAATTTTGCGACTCGATTGAAATCTCTACGGATATACACGAATCGTCCCGTTCATATGTATCGAATAAGGCTACACATCCACATAGCGGTGGGCGGAAACCCACGATTTAGTTACCGACATGAGAAATCTGGACTGCTCTTTTGTTTGCATCTTTGGTTTTCTTTTCCCTATCAAATATGGCGAGAACGAGAACAAAAGTCGGTACGATGAATTGGGGCCGAAACGATAACGACGAAGGGAATGGGGAAAGCATTGGAAAAAAGGCCACGATGCCTTTGGAATTATGCCTTTCTCTTATGCCAAATGCTGGCTGTTCGAGATGAGCATTGACCTTTTCGATTTGTTTTCTTGGATTCTTGCAAGTGTGGTTTTTTTTTTTTTTGGTCGATTGCACGTGTGGTTAATTCGGCTGCTGAACGGCAGATCCTTGTGCAACCTTTTTCCCTCGTGTTGACTTTTGACCGGGATGGAGCTGGGGCATCGAGTTTCAACCGTGTAAGGTAGCGCTTGCCAATACACGCACGCCACATGAATCCAACGTAGGACGAAACTCTGTGGTTGTGTGTGGGTGTGTCGCGGATGATCTTTTTGGCCTCCTCTCTGCCACTTGTAATTCGCTCGATCCACGTGTACGAAGTCGAGGTGAACGTGTGCCTTCTCCAATCTCGATATGAAAAATGACACGGGTGATCCAAATTTTTTTTTGAACTTTTGATTTGTTCGGTATTATCTATGAACTATTAATAGATGTTCAATTTAGTTCCTAAATTGTATATGAAAATATTTACTATCGTCCTTTTGTTAATCCAAGTTAATGAAATCTTCTGATGCGACTTCCATTTCGCTAAGTTTGAACAATGGACATAAGAGGAACGTTACTTGTAAGTTATCAACGTAAGATATTTATTTCAACTTAGGATATAATAATTCGTGTCATCGAATAATGATGGACATGTTAATGCCCTAATTTTTTTTTCTTTTTTAAAGTCAATGGATTAAAAAATGGACAAGCTGACTCGTCATTTCTACAAATCTAACTCGACATATGATAATCCACGTCATCAAAAAATGTATGATTTGTCGTTTAAGCAAACGGAAAAACAACATTGAACATTTACCAATAGTTTATATATTATATTAAACAAATTAAAATTCGGGAGATTATCCCTGAACTTTATGTATAATGTCATCTCTGAACTTTTGATTTGTTCAATATGGCCCATGAACTATTGTTGGATGTTCAATCTAGTCACTAGGTTTTATGAAAAATGTTCAATATCGTTTTTTCATTAATTAAAATTAATGTAATTTGCTGATGTGACTTCTATTTCGTTAAGTTTGAATAGTCGACATAAAAAAATTACGTGTGAATTATCCACGTAAGATATTCATATGAAATCATGATATAATGATCCATATCATCAAATAATTATGGACATATTAACGCCATAATATTTTTATCTTTTTCTAAAGTAGATTATTAAAAAAAATAAACATATTGACTTGTCGTTTTTATAAATTTAACTCGTTATATAATAATCTATGTCTTCAAATAACGTTTAATTTGTCATTTCTGCAATACATTAAATAGATTAAAAGTCGAGGAACGACATTGCACATTAGGCCAAAATTCATGGACCATTTGCATCATTTTCCCTTATGCTCAAACAATAATCTTTTTTTTTCTATGAACAACAAAGGAAAATTTCGTCGAAATTAATGATTGTGCAAAAAACCAATCGCGCAAACCACATATCAAATGCGAATCCTTATCCTAAGAACCCCTCCTAACCCAAAAAAAAAAAAAATGTTTAGTCAATATTTAGCTATAGATTCATAAAATCGACTATCCCCGAAAAAGGGATGACATCGGTGGCCTACATTTTTCTTTCCTCTCAATCTCAATTACCATAACACGGTCTAATTTATTTTAAAATTCAAACCCACATTTACAATTCATTCCTTCGTTTTTGGAGGGGCCAAGACATCGGCGCGGGTGGACCGCATAAACTTCTTCCAGCATTTTTAACCACGTTGTAAACAACAACATCCCAAGTGCGAGACGGATCGAAGCACCAGCGTTTCGCACGTTTCGCAGGTGGCGACCGACGCCGCACTTCTGCGCTCATCCCTAAGTCTCCTTCGTTATTTTTAAGGAAAGAAAATTTTTCTCTTTTCTCAGTTTCGGTGATGGCTTTTGGACTTTTACTGTTCCCCCCAAGGAAAAATAAGGAATGCGATTGGCCACGATCGACACGTGTGCCCTACACCAACTCTAAGAGTCCAGCCCCGACGTTGTAAAGACCAGCTCGACCTTTCCGGCCTAATTATTTATGACGTGCGCGCTTACGTCACTCCATTACAACGCTCTGGCCGAGCTTTCTCCCCGTGCAATGAATTCCGCGTCAAAAATATCTGCGAGAGATGCAACCCTCTTTTCTTTTCGATCATCCTTTTAAGAACGTGGCCGTCTGAAACTTGAGAAACGTGCCGAATTCACTTTTCCTTCGTTCGCCGTGGAACCGTATTCTTGATCTCGTCAAAAAGGGGAAGGGAAGACGACAAAACACTGTAGAGACACGGGGGGGATAAGGCATGGGATGCTTCCTTTTTTTCCTCTCTTTTTGGGGGCGTTTTTGGGTTGGCGAAGGATCTTGAACTGAGTTTCGATTTTTCAAGCCACCATGGTCAAAGACGCCGAGGATGAGAATCTGGCCGTTCGCCAAGGATGTCGTGGCCCAAAATCCCTGTGCCAGAGGCTTGGTTCTACGTCTCGTGCTGATGGTTGTCATTTGGCCCATAATGACATGAATGGGCCAGCATTCGTTTCCTTGGTTAGGAACGAAAGATGGGTCGGCGGCGGGCTTATTACCTAAGCCCATACGCCACGGCAACGTCGCTTGAAAAGTGCGTGATGCCGAGACGGAGCCCGGCACCCCTTAGGTCACGTGGATCCCACGTCGGACCCACCAAATTCGAGGGCTCGAGGCTCGCATGCATCGCGATAACTTGAGAAATTTTTCTGTCGTGCATCATCCAACCACTGACGCATCGGCCTGGTCAGTGACGCCATATCAGCACGTCTCATGCCATGTGTTAGCTCAGCTTGTTGCCGAAGCACCAAGGTGTCATGCTCGTGTGGAGATGCCATATTGTTCAACAAAAAGTCTATTGAGGTTGTCTCATATCGATTATAGAAGGGATTGATAGTCGGTTTATAAACCTCACATTTTGAGTTAATTTTTGGGTGAGAGAAGCCCGAGGATCACCCAACAAAGCCTTGAGCTAAAAAGTTTAGTGGGTGCTTCCAGAAGAGCCTTCTTTGAAGCCTTGGCGATACAGACAGAGGTGTCAAATCTCTCGGAGCTTTTCTCCTCGTCAATGTGCGTACTTCGGTATTGTCCATGTCATGGCTGTCGCTAATCATACTCAAGACAACCAACGATCAAATCTTTAGGCGAATCTAAGGCCGGTTTGGGAACAAAAAACCCTGATCTGCTCATTTAATGCCTCTGTTGGCCGAGTAATGGACCGGTTCTTTCGTCGAGTCCAATCGCGAAGAGGTCGAATCGCTGCGAGATAAGGTAGTGTGCGAGCTATCGCCATACAGTTGGCCATTCGGATGTCATAGTTTTGCTTCTCGGATCGCTGTCGTCTGTGGAGAAGGAAACATGTGCAGATGTCATGAGAGAGAGAGAGAGAGTGTTCAGCAGCAGCCGTCTCTCCTGTTGATTAATTGGGAGGACCCTCTTGGAGAAAAGTTTGTAATAAGTGTCGTGCAAGTCTATGTCCCAATGGGCCCTCTTGACTAGATTAACATTCGTAGTCTAGGAAGATTCCGAATGCCCATGCAAGGCCCCCACTTGCTTGTCAAAAGGCGAAAGCTGCAGCTCCACTGGAATGAGATCTTTTGTTTTCTCTCCGAAGTTTTATAGCGGAAGAAAAGATTTAAGGTTTGGAAGATATTTTGTCTAAAGAGATGCCAAATACTTTTGCCCAAGTATGTATATTAAAGGATAGCTGAAATAGCAAGAAATAATAGTTATTAAAGAATTTTTGGACGATAGACAAAGCACTCACTTTCAATTCTGATTAAGTTTGCATGTGGGTGATATCCATAACTTATGACCCACTAATAAAAAGTATGGTTGGAGAAAAGTATAACCTATTGTATAATAATATATGTCAACATCCTATGGGATTCCAAATTACAAACTCGAGGCATTCTTATTATCTATGTATAATGCGCTGATATTGCGTACTTAGGTTTTCTAACCATAGATTGTTGATTAATGCTAAGTATATTTCATATGTAAAAGCTTCCTTTTTCTTCATTCTGAGTTAGATATTGCTTCATTGTCAAG